ATTTGTTATACATGACAGTATTACATGTTTAAAATAATAGATAGATTAAACAAAATTCTTTCTTTACTAGGTGTATTTTCAATACTGAAGAAACTGTGTATAAATATCTAGACTGTTACAGAAAACTGTGTGAATTATATTCCTTATATTCCACACTGTTCATCATGTGAATCTACATTGATTTCAGTATTAACATATGGTACATATGTACAATAAGAACAAGATAATACAGTAAGAGCAAGATAATACTTGCAGAAAGCACAAACGTTATTATTACCTTGTTCGTCTCTGTAATATTCAAAGCAAAATATAAAATCTAAATAAATTTTAAACAAAATTGAAGATTAGCGATTATTGTCTAAATTTTTCCAGAATTTAGGAGAAATAGTTCAAATGATGAGCAGAATGCTAAGTAGTCACTCACATCACTCATTCTATGGGAGTGGCAGCTTTTCCTTCTTAAATCAAAAATACTGTAAGTTAACATAGTGCATAGGGACATGAAACAGACATCTGAGAGTTTGGAGATTTAATGACTATGATAGGGAAATATGAGTCCTCTGATAATTCTTTTTTTTTTAAACCTATATGATTTGATTATTGCTGTGTTTAACACTTGGCTTTATTAAGCTTTTATTAAGATTTAATATCATTAGAAAAACTTTCAAAATGATTTATCTACAAAAATCCCCCCACAATTTAATGGTAAATTTTGTAGATAAATAATTTGGAAAGTTTTTCTTCCAGTATTGAATCATTTGGAAAGCTTATTAAATCAATTTTTTCGTGTGCATTCTTTCAATAATAATGAGTTTAATATGGGGACAAAATAATCAGATTTTTGTCTATTGCAAAACAGATTCAAATTTCTGCGGCAATAGATAAAAGGGTTTGTAACTGGTATAACAACTGCATATAACAGAGATATGACTTTGTTTCCATCCATTGATTTTGCTTTCTTCGGACGTGCATACATAAACAGAGTTGATGAAAAGAATATTGTACTAGAGATAGATGAAGTAAAGTTGGGGCGAAGCCGACTGCCGAGCTGCATGGATGTGTGTTAGCTGAGCTCCTGGCAGTGCTAATCCATTTCCATCGGGCTAAAAACATAACCATGGGACACCCTAAACGAGCCAACGCTGGCCAGCACTCTTCAGACAAGACCCCTGCAGGAAAAACAGGCACCCTGACAAAAAATTTTTTTGGGACACAGCGGAACAACAACCCGACCCGGTAGGCCTCAATATGGCGCCGGACTCACCTCCCACAAACTCCCCACCATCGAGCACCATGGGATTGGAGAGTTCGAGCCACAATGCCGACATGGATATTAGGGAGCTGATACGAGCACTGACATCTAGGCAAGATCTCGCTCAGATGCTGGGTAAACTTGAACCTCCTTCCAGACCAAGCTGGACAAAATTGGGGGAAAACTTCCAGGCCATACTTCGCAAACTTTTTAACCTAATCCTGGGCTGACCCGCAGGCCTTTGATAGAGCCCAAAGGGCCTTACCTCCATGAGGCAGGATGTAGTGTGTAGACTGCACTACTATGAATGCAAGAATGATATACTCAAAGCAGTAAGGCTGGCCCAACAACCTCTCCTGTTCCACTCAGCCCCTATCGCAATATACACAGACCTATCCTGGCTGACACTCCAGGCCCGCAGGGCATTGAAACCAATTACTGACCAATTCCGGGCCCGAAATGTAAAATACCGCTGGGGCTTCCCATTCTCCCTCACGGCAACCTACCTGGGCAACACCCGCTCCATAACACAGATCGCTGATGTACCTGTCTTCCTGAGGGTCTTCGACCTCCAAGACATTAGTATACAAGACTGGTATGGCCCCATAACGCAGCCGACCACACATGTCATGCCGCAACGGACCCGATAGCAGCAAACCGCTAAGAAGAGGAGAACAGATCCAGCAGCAACCGCAAATGAGGAACCAGCGCTAGCCGCCCGTGATCTCCGCTCTAACACTGACACCTAAGTGGCACCCCACGAGACCCTCCACCATGACAACACAGCCAAGCTAACAGACACTCACAAACCAAGACCCAAGACAGCCCCTCCTAGCACTTAGCCTTGAGCACCTCTACACCAACATCTGAACTCCTCAGGAGCCTGAGGGAGAGGTCCCAGATTGATACCTCCACTCCATCCATGGACCACGCAAGTATAACTATACCTCACACCCTAGACTGAGACTCTCCCTACCCTCTACCCACTGTAACCCCCTATACACCCCACCACTCTGAGGCCTCCGGGCTGATACCACAAATGAACACCACTTACCTTCCCTTCTGGGTATTCCTCACCGATATCATGAATGGAGGCCTTGCACCTAACTTGTATGGAATACCGTTGGGCCCAGATTCAACACTCAAGAACCCTGTAGGGTGCCAAGGGAATAGGCACTCAGGTTTACACCCGCACTTAACCCCTGACTCTCAGACACTATAAACCCCCATGAACTAGCCTCCACAGATACCTGGGACAGAGTACCCCTCTTCAGGACACTTGAAAACTCCACTCAAGCCTCCCCCCCCACTGGGACCAAGACACCCAGCTTATCCCCCCTATTCACATAGCAGACCAGGAAAAAAACAAACAAAACAAAAACAATCCAGAGATGACATACTTGACTCCTCCCCTTGACATAGACTGGGGAAAGAATTGCACTTGATTTATGTTTACTATGGCAGTTATTGTGTATGTGATGTATTTGCAACAGCTACATAAATGTCCTCTTCATACTATTAACATCACCCAGAAGACAGTGGCCCCAATTCCCTACTCGCTGGGCCCCAAGTACTTGCCCAATCTCTCCAGGGTTACAGCCTCTCTAGGTGGACGGGGAAACTGGGAAGAGGATAGTCACACCCACCCCTAACCCATTAGAAACCAACCTCGCAACGCTTGACATCTCACGAATCCCCATCTCCAGGTGACAATCCACCTAACTCCCATACACCGCAACCCACGTGCGCTCCCCCTCATTACTGGGAGCTCAAGAGCTGGAGACACCAGCCAGTATAAGCCCTGAGTAGATCATGTGGACCTGAATCCAGGCCTTAACAGGCCAACGCGACCTCCATACACCCGCTTAGCTAATGGGAGTCCCCCTAGGCCTCCAGTATAACCCTATGACCTACCCCTGACCCAACACCTGCCGACCCAGGTTATGTGACACCAAGGAAACCAACCAATCCACCCTAACGATAGCAAGCTATCAGGTAGCAACCAGGCCAGACACCTATAACCTCTCACTGGGCCCCTATCTCTGTCTCAAACCACGAGGGGGATAGAGTGGGGTCTGTGTGTGGTCTTGCGCACACAAATGCGTACTAAGAAGTGAAATAATAGCCAAGGCATCAAGACACAAAAAAATAAGAGAAGCTCAAGTCCACTCCCTCATGACTGAAATCAGAGACCTCGAGAACTTGCACAAACAAGACACCAGGCTGAGCACATACACAACTCTTAAAGCTAAGCACTTGGCTCTGCGAGACCTACAAAATATCAAAGTCAAACACACCCTCCTGTGCACCAAACACACCTACTACGCTCAGGGGGGCAAAAGCATCTGTCTACTAGCACATGGCGCTCCCCAAGGTACTATATCTGCTCCAAACCCTGCCCATCACTATACCCAAATCCTACTTCACCAAACTCAGACAACTTTTTACTACCTTCATCTGGACTCATAAATGACCCAGAATCCCCTACAAAGTCCTGACCAGACACAAGCTTAGTGGCGGACTGGGCCTACCCCACATGGAACCAAGCTAACGTCCTATCCAGGATCTATGAATGGACCGTCAACCCACCAGCGAGACAATGGACAGTACTAGAGAGCTCAGTGTTTACAGTCCCCCTCCACACTATCCCATGGCAAAGAGCAAACACAACCATACTGCTCAATCAACACACCTCCCACCCTACTATCCACCCTACACTCAGAATCTGGACACGCTTAAGGGAACTCCAGAACATCTCCCTGCACCCATCCCCTCTATACCCAATTACACATAACCCACATTTCCCCCCGGGGCTGCAGGCCAATACATACGAACAGATAACACCTGCTACTGACAAGCTATACCTCACCCTAGGAAGTATTTTAGATGGCAAAACTATCCGTTCCCTCCCCAGCCTGCTGGTGCCGGACACGCCGAACACAATGTCAACTTTCCACTATGCACAAGTAACTCACTCCCTAAAGACCAACCCGGCACTAATGAAGGGATCACACCAGGGGTCAAGTCCTGGGGAAAAAAGTGTGGGAACTCACCCAAGATTCCCGCCCCCCCCCCCCTTAAAAAATAAATAAATAAAAAAATACACTCCTATGCATATAGTGCAGTGCAGGGTGTGTATAATGAATGTAGTGTGTTTGTAGTGAATGCAGAGTATGAATAATAAATGTAGTGTGTTTGTAGTGAGTGCAGTGTGAATAATAATTGTAGTGTATTTATAGTGAGTGCAGAGTGTGTATAATGAATGTAGTGTGTTTGTAGTTAAGTGCAAATTGTGTATAATGAATTTAGTGTGTTTGTAGTGAGTGCAGAGTGTGTACAATGAATGCAGTGTATGTAGTGTGTTTGTAGTGAATGCAGAGTGTGTATAGTGAATGTAGTGTGTAGTGAGTGCAGAATGTGTATAGTGAATGCAGAGTGTGTATAGTGAATGCAGAGGGTGTATAGTGAATGTAGTGTGTTTGTAGTGAGTGTATAGAATGTGTGTGTTTGTAGTGAGTGAAGAGTGTGTATAATGAATGCAGTGTGTGCGTGTGCTGGATGATGTGTGTGAGTGCGCTGGATGATGTGTGTGTGATGATGTGTGTGTGACTGCAGGATGATGTGTGTGTGAGTGCTGGATGATGTGTGTGTGAGTGCTTGGATGATGCTGGATGATGTGTGTGTGTGCTGGATGATGTGTGTGTGTGTGTGCTGATGATGTGTGTGTGTGAGTGCTGGATGATGTGTGTGCGTGTGCTGGATGATGTGTGTGCGCTGGATGATGTGTGTGTGAGTGCTGGATGATGTGTGTGTGTGTGCTGGATGATGTGTGTGTGTGTGCTGGATGATGTGTGTGTGTGCTGGATGATGTGTGTGTGTGCTGGATGATGTGTGTGTGTGCTGGATGATGTGTGTGTGTGCTGGATGATGTGTGTGTGAGTGCTGGATGATGTGTGTGTGTGAGTGTGTGCTGGATGATGTGTGTGTGTGAGTGCTGGATGATGTGGTGTGTGCTGTGAGTGCTGGATGATGTGTGTGTGTGAGTGCTGGATGATGTGTGTGTGTGTGTGAGTGCTGGATGATGTGTGTGTGTGTGAGTGCTGGATGATGTGTGTGTGTGCTGGATGATGGGTGTGTGAGTGCTGGATGATGGGTGTGTGAGTGCTGGATGATGGGTGTGTGTGTGCTGGATGATGGGGAGGGGAAGCATTTTTTTCTTACTTTATGTGTTTATTTTTATTTTAATCCCCCCTCCCTGCTTCTTACCTTGTCAGGGAGGGGGGAGATCGCCTGGTGGTCCGGTGGAGGGAGCCAGCCGCTGCACAGAGGGGCCATCACACACTGTGTTCCCTCTCCAGCTCTAACTCTCGCGAGACTCGCCTGTGCGGAGCGTTGCCATGGTAACAGCCGCGGGTCTCGCGAGAGTTATAGCTGGAGAGGGAACACAGCGTGTGCTGGCCCCTCTGTGCAGGTAGCAGGGCCGGTCCTGCAGGACAGGTAACGGGAACGGCGTTCCTGCTTTGGAAAAAGTGCAGGAACGCCGTTCCCATGCGTTCCTGCAGGACTCGAGCCCTGGATCACACACACTCACAGACTTTGAGATACACTGCACAACCCACAAAGTTATGACCAAACAACTCTCAACTTTCTACAGAATCATCCAAATTAACCACACCAACCCTCTACCCACATTCACAGAGGCCTGGACGACGGACCTCAACATACAACTCTTAGCACACCAATGGAAAACTATATTTTTCAAAATACGCAAAACCCCAATCTGCAACAGGCTACAGGAAAGTGGTTACAAGAGAATATCCCGGTGGAACTATTCGCCAGGCAAACTACACACTCTCTTCTCACAAACACCGGGTGAATGCTGGAAATGCCACCAACAGGAGGAGACACTGGCACACTCCTGGTTTTACTGCCCTCGCGTACAGGCATACTGGAACCACATATTGTCAATGATCAGAATCGTGACAGGGCTACAGCCCCCTACAACACCCCACAATCTACTGTTTCTAATCCCACATTCCCTCCTTTCAAGGCCGCTATGCACTCTAGTCGCACATATTCTCATCGCTGCCAACTCCCTAATTCCGACAAAATGGAAAAACCCCAACGCCCCCACAATCAGAGAATGGATTACAAGAGTGGATGGAATTAGAACCATGGATGAGATCCATGCTTCCATAACCCACAAATATCCCCTCTTCCGGGAGGTATGGGGGCCATGGGAGAGATTCATGACCAAACAAGACCCTACAACCCAAACATCAAGGGAAAAACACCTAAGGTACACTAGCGAAATCCAGTCCAAGCTTAAGTCTACCCGAAACTCCCCCCTACCAAACCTGCCTTCCCCCCATGACCACTTCCCCCCTAAACCCTAGATTCTATTTAAGAACCCCACATGCCTGAAACTACCCTCATACAAACCAAATATGTGTCAGGATTACAGTATGATCCAGCACTTAGAATTGTGTAACACAGAGAACTGATTGGTAACGTATACCGGACCTTAGAATGGCTGGACTAACATACCAAAGAATAGTCAGGAATAGCCGAGGTTAAGGGACACAGAAAGAGACACAACGATAAGGAAAAGCCAGGGGTCAGGGATGCCAGAAAACAGGGAAGTCAAAATCAATGCCAAAGTCAAATAACCAGAATAACCAGAATCAATAACGCATTCGGTGAATGCCTTAAGCATCTGTTTAAGTGTGCCGTTAAAATTCTCACAGAGTCTATTGGTCTGCGGATTGTAGGGAGAACTGAACAGGGGCTTGACTCCACAGCTCTGCCATAATTGTTGGGTCACAGTTGCGGTGAATTGGGTCTCCTGGTCAGACAAAATCTCCCTGGGAAACCCTACCCTAGAGAAAATCTTCACTAGAGCTTCGGTTACGGTCTCTGTCTCTATATTGGAAAGGGCCACAGCCTCCAGATATCTAGTGGCATAGTCCACCACCGTGAGGATGTAGCTCTTTCCCGAGGTACTAGGTAAGCTGAGAGGGCCTATTAAATCCACCACTACCCAGTGGAACAATTTTTCTATTATAGGTAAAGGGTGAAGTTTGGCTTTGGTATGGTAACCCTTTTTCCCTATCCTTTGGCAGGTGTCACACGTGCAATATTCTTGTAGGTCCTTTGTGACCCCCAGCCAAAAAAAGGTCTGGGAGAGCCAGTCCTTGGTCTTCCGGACACCCAAATATACAGCTACGGGTATATCATGGAACTAGCCCCATAAAATGCCCTATATTTACGAGGTACTACAATTGTTTTTTAGGGATCTGCGAAGCCCCACTCCCCCTTCTCCCTCTCCTGGGAAATATCTCCTGGGGGGGATGCTGCCTCCTTTATGTACCCCTCCAGTGTCCTGGTCCTGCTCAAAACCCTAGGGAGTACCCCAGAATTAGGTGGGGGAGTTGGGTAAGGAAGGGCTGGGGAATCCTACCTGAGGTTCCTTGGAGTGTGCTGGCTCCCCCCAGAGAGCTTGGGACTGAGTCGTCACAGGACATGTCTCCTCTGGTTCAAGCTGGGCAAGCTGGGAAGTCAGACAACTGAGGTCATTCCCCAAAAGTACCTTGGCCGGTAGCTCCTGCATGATGCCCACTTCCAAGCGTTTGGCTTCTGTACCCCAGTTGAGGTGTGGATGGCACCTCCTGCTACTTGGACCGCCACGGTCCTGTTGGTGCGGGCTTGGGCCTGTGAGATTGTACCAGGGTGAGAGTAGCACCAGTGTCTCTTAAGGCTTGGGCATCCTGCCCGTCCATGGTGACCCACTCCCGATGGTGGCCCAGATTGTCACCTGCTGCTTGGACTGGGTTGGCTTCATGTAGTACCATCCATTGTTCCTTGCTGTGTCCCTGTGTCTCCTGCGCCTCTGGTGATAGCAGTGTTCCGCGCCCTGGGTGTGTTGGGTGTTGGTCTGTACTAGCTCCCTCGGTTCTATTGAGGGCAGTGCATCTTATAGTGCCTTGGCTGTTGGCAGTGGTGACAGAGGGCCATTGAGTGCCGCATGGGTGTTGGTGGTGGTACTGGGGGATAGAAATTAGGTCTGGATGGTGGCAGAGGTCCTTGCGCTGGGACAGGGGGCTTAAAAGTGGTTCACCCTCCGCTCGATTCTACCTTTCTCCCATCGTGGTACTCATCTGCTAACCAAGCTGCCTCTTCCACCGTACCAGGTTTCCTATCCCTCAGCCAGTCCCGGGGTTACATTGGCATGTGCTCAAAGAATTGCACCAATAAGATTAATCGTACTGCATCCTCCAAAGTCTTTGCCTGGCAGCGCTGCATCCAATTTTCAGCTGCCCAGTGCATCCGAAAGGCCCATTCGACATATGAGTCTCTATTTCTCTTTCGCAAACCCCGAAACTTTCTCCTGTACGCTTCCAGGGTAACGGCGTACCGGGTGAGCAGGATGTCTTTTACTCGATCATAATTGTGAATAGCAGAATCGGGTACTGCTCGGTATGCCTCTGCTGCTCTGCCGGTGAGTTTGCTGCTCAATATCACAACCCAATGTTCTTGCTCTAGCCCCTCTAAAATGCACTGTCTCTCAAAGTACTTCAAATAAGTGTCGATGTCCATTTCTCCATCAACAATTGTTCTGAAGCCAGTGTAGTAGATTTTTCTCCGCTGCCCTCCATTTATAGATCCAGGTAACAATGCCAAGTTTTGGGCCACAGCTAACAAAACAAGGTAGTTTCTTCACAGGTGGGATTTCATGATATAAACTTTTAAAATGTAAAGGAGAATATGAAAGTGAGCAGATTGCAGTGTTAGGGTTTTCTATGTTCTGATTTCTTTTTCATTTTTTTTTCATTTCAGTTTTGTACACTCTGGACATATTCCATTGTATGTGGGTAATGTAACATGTTACATAGGTTGAAAAGAGACATGTGTCCATCAAGTTCAGTCTTCTTCACATTTTATTTTTGCTGTTAAACTAAAAGCAGTTAGATTTATCCTTGGATCAAGAAGCTATTATACTACAGTTGAAAAATGATATCATTAAATATTTTGTTTTTACAAGTTTGCATCTAGTTCCTGTTTAAACATCTGTTCGTACTCTGATAAAATCACTTCTTCAGGCAGAGAGAATGCCATATGCTTATTGTTATTATGGTAATAAAACCTCTCCTTTGCCTTAGACTAAATCTTTTTCTTCCAGTCTAAATGCATGACCTTGTGTCCTATGTAAAGTCTTGTTTGTGAATAGATTTATACACAATGGTTTGTATTGGCCGCTGAGATATTTGTATAATAAAATATGTGTGCAGATTCCCAGTGAGTCAACAAATAATTTCTGATACTCTAACACCTGTGTAGGATTCCCTTAACCCACACCAAACCCAAAACACAAATGTATATAAACGGTGGAGTATCTTACATGAAATTGGGATGGTATACAGTAAATCCTTAAGATATTAAATCCTACATGGAAAAAAACACAAGAAAAACAAACACTAGTGCAATATCGTTTGTATCCTGATGTTGAAATTAATAAGTACATATAGATACACTCGCAAGTAAGGAGCCAGTCTGGTTTCTGGCTCAAAATATCAGCTTAGTGGAATGTTAGGGTCCCACTCCCTCTTTGGTGAAGTGAAATAGCTGCAGTATTTTGATTGTAGTCACAAGCAGGAATATTTCCAAAATGCTTTATTTTAAAGTGCACAAGACATAAATAAAATCAATGAAATAAATTAAGATAAAAACAAATTTCTTACAGTCTTTGCAAGTCCTTAGCAAAACGTGTTTCGCCTCACTTGGAGGCTTCCTCGGCTGTTGTAAAGTAGTTTCCAATTGATCTCCTTTTTAAACCATTCATAATTGACGCTTTCAGGTGTCCTGGATTTCGGCCTCCTGCGTTTCCGGTTACTGTTTTGCGTCCCACTATTGGAACGCAGTGTTTCTTACTGTCTGACGTACTTCCGGTTTCTTTCCTTGATGTTGGAATGCAACCTTGCATTCCACTTTGA